TGATTATGAAAGTAATGATGATGAGAGAGATGATGATGGTGAATTAATGATAATAATGAGTTATTATCGGATTAAACATTTTCATGGTTTGTTGACGACGATCATGATGATATTAGATTATGAAGAGGACTTCATAATTATTCAACGGGTGCGATGAACTGAAATTAAATGGTCGTGGTGATTCAAAGTGAGATGATGACAATTTATGATGAAGAAAATTAAAATGCTAACGATGAATTAAATTGAATGATGATGATTAAGGCTCTGCCATTGTTGATGCTGCTGATCTTGATGATGTTGCTGCTGATGCTGCCGCTTCTGACGATGACGATGTTGATAATTATCACGACGCCACCCACCCACCGTCACTGACGCGCACTCTGCGCCGTGAATGCGTAACGGCTCCCCGTATCGCAGCCACCGATCCCGCGTCTGCAACGCGCCTCGATTCCATCGCGAACAGCAGCGGGTGGGCATAGCAGCGAATCCCGTCCGTCACCCCCCCCCAGGAAGTTCTCGCCACGTGGGATACAAACACGGCCGTGCGGTAGATACCTAGTGGCGCCGCGGCGGCTAGGAGATGTTAACTCTCTCGCCTGGTACACAGGAGGTCGTGGGTTCGAGCCGCAACCTGATAACGCCTGTTGCTGTATATTTGGAGTTTGGGTCTCTCTCTCATCATCATCTCGGTGGTTAGGAGATGTTAACTCCCTCGCCTGGTACACAGGAGGTCGTGGGTTCGAGCCGCAACCTGATGACGCCTGTTGCTGTATATTTGGAGTTTGGGTCTCTCTCTCTCTCATCATCATCTCGGTGGTTAGGAGATGTTAACTCCCTCGCCTGGTACACAGGAGGTCGTGGGTTCGAGCCGCAACCCGATGACGCCTGTTGCTGTATATTTGGAGTTTGGGTCTCTCTCTATCTCATCATCATCTCGGTGGCTATGAGATGTTAACTACCTCGCCTGGTATACAGAAGGTCGTGGGTTCGAGCTGCAACCCGATGACGCCTGCTGCTGCTATATATTTGGAGTTTGCGTGTCTCTCTCTCTCTCATCATCATCACGGTGGCTGGGAGATGTTAACTCCCTCGCCTGGTATACAGGAGGTCGTGGGTTCGAGCCGCAACCCGATGACGCCTGCTGCTGCTGCTGTGTGTTTGGAGTTTGCATTTTTCCCCGGGTCCTCCGGTTTGTCGCTCCGCATTCAGAATGAACATCACCACGCGTTTCGAGTAATTGGCTGCTGCATAAGTGTCAACACGGTTTTCAAGCCACTCCGTTGAACAATCATTTGTGGCCAAGTGGCTTACGATTAGAGCTATGCAGCTAAGTGGGCCTTACCTGATGAAATAAAAACTAGTTTACTGCGACAAAACTGACGTTACCCCTCCCCATTCCCACCTGGAAAAGGGAATCTTAGAACTCATTGAAGCCTTCCTGGGTAAATAAGCAATAATAATAATTATAATAGCAACAGCAGGTCATGCGGACGCCTGCCGATATCGATCGCAGCTCGTTCGGAGTGGAGCAACCATCAGACTCGATTAGGAGGGTTGGGGGGTGTGGGGGGGGGGCAATCCGCTTGCGAAATTCGTGTCTGGGCGATCGCTCGCTCGCCGTGGCCACTGTACCCGCGAGCCGGGTGACCACATTAAAATACATGATATGCGTACTGCGCTACATGTGTGTTGAGTGCCATGTGGAACTCGCGGGCACGGTCGTCCGTGCCACGGACGAAGCTGGATGGCAGCCAGCCACGTGGTAGGGAGGCCGACGCGATATCAATACTTGGCCGAGCTCTGCGGTCCTCTATCAATATGTATATATGAAGGTGTTGGCAGCCACATTGATCACAATCATAATTCTCATTTATACTGGAGGTATCCGATGAGCTCTGAAACTCGTTATTATTTTCTCACAAATGTCCAGCCATGCGTTGTATATACAACACACGTGGAAGGAATGGAAGGAATTCGGAGCAACCGGAGAAGACACACGCGTGCCTGTGAGCGAGCGAGGGAGCAAGACTCGATCCCATACAGAAGAAGATACAGATGAAGATTCGTCAATACCGCCGTCTCCTGGCGAGCCAGGGTATGGCACCTCCTCCTGCTCGACAAATACCCACGGGAAAGGGAGTTTCACCCACCATCTGTGTGTGATCCATCAACCCTCCACCTGGTCACGTGCAGAGCCACCATCGCCACCCAGTGTTCGTGGGTGGGTGGTGCAGCGGTGAACATCAGCAGCAGCAGCAACATTATAATCAGCAGAGCCTTCATCATCATCAGCAGTAGAGTCATCATCATGATCTGGGTGGTGCAGCGGTCAACATCAGCAGCAGCAGTAACATTATAATCAGCAGAGCCTTCATCATCATCAGTAGTAGAGTCATCATCATGATCTAATTAAAATCATTCAGCAGTAGCATCAGCAGCAGCAGCACACCTTCTATCATTCAATTAAATTCATCATCGTAATCATCATCATGATCGCTACCACTAGCATCATCAATCTCATCATCAATCTCATCATCATCATCGATCATCATCAATCACCCTCCCCATGGCCCCCTTGTTCACTACACCAAACACGCGTTACACTCTACTCGTCTCTTCTCTACTGCAACAACTGTGAGAGTGCTGCTTGTTGCTTGCCTTTTGACGATTTGGGCCTCACTCTGATGATGACATTTTACGAGCCATGAAGAAGGGCCATTTTCCCGAAATGTCGTCTATTCGGTAATATATCTAATTTCGAGGCCACGCAGACATGGTGTTGTCATTGACACGAGTGTTGAGTTGTTGTTGTTGGTTGTGTACCACTGCCAACGCAGCAGTTGCAGCATCACCAAATCAACGATGTTTTATATCCAATTGTTTATTAAAAGCATCGCGAACTGAATTCCATTGGGAAGATAACCCGCAAGGTTAACATTGCCTACAGGTGCTCTGAACGGATGACTCGCTCGCTGTGGTCTCGACTCGAACTCGGGTCGATGGGTCCCGAGCGCATCGTGATCGCCACGACACAGCCGCACGTACAGCGATCACCCCCCGTGTAGACTGAACAGGCTGCTGGGGAGGGTGATGTCAGCAAGCAGCACCTATGAAGGCCGGCACGGCACACGAGGGGGTGGGTGGGCAAAACCACGCCCGGCCGCCTTTGCCTCCCAGGTGGCGATGTTTACACATCGCACCAGGTATTCATTTGAGACTGAGTCGACCTAGGGGAGGCTCAGGACCGGTCACATAATCGTCAGTGGGGTTGGGTCCGTGAGCGGGAATCGGACCCGGGTCGCCAGGTTCGTAGCGCGGCGCGCTAACTGCTTCTGTACAAAGATCCCCCGTGTAGCCTTTACAGACTGTAGGAGCAAGTGCTGTTAGCGAGCACCTATGAAGGCCGGCACGGCACACGAGGGGGTAGGTGGGCCAGCACCACGCCCGGCCGCCTTTGTCTCCCTCTTGGCGATGTGTGTGTGTGTTACGTGATGAAACACACACACGACTTGTGCATCTGCAGTGGGAAGACAAAGGCGGCCGGGTCGCACCATCTCCTGGTGCGACCTGAAGATCTTAAAACTGCTCGCGAACTGCACTTTCCCCAACAGCCTTGCCATGCCCTCAACCCCGGCGATCCGAGTTCGATTCTAGCTCGAGATTAGCAGCATCCGGAGCGCGTCACGATCCAAACTTGTCATCGCCGCCTCCCTTAGGTCGACTCGGCCTTAAATAAAGTACCCAATACAGAACAGTACCACGCATATCCCCCTTACCTTCTAATCACGTTCACGAGAATTTAGGATCACGGTTGGCTACGTACGGTGCGAAAAAAGTTCAACATACATACACTCAACCGGGTGAGCTTTGAATGGAGCTTAATAGGTGCTCGCTAACAACACTTGCCCTAGGACTTTAGTACCAGACTGGGTTATGGGATGGGGGAGGGGGGCAGGGCGTGGGGGGCGAGGGGGGAGGGGTGGGTCGCGGGGGGGGGGGGAAGTTAACCTGCTCCCGTCAACGTAACCAGCGCGGTGAAGTATGTTCTACCAACAACTCTCACGCTACCCACTCGGCATGGTCGGTAGAGGGGCGGGGGGGTGTAGGGGCTCTTCATCCAGCAGTGGATCGACACTGTTGCTACCATCACGGCAGCAGCAACAGCGGGAACATCAGCAACTTACATTTTCAACGTGCCGACAACGTAATGTAAGCTCCGCCACAAGTTCGTCAAGAACACTGCCGACGTTTCGGGTAACGACCCTTCTTCAGGGCATCTTGACGGAAGCGCGCATTACATACAACACCACTGAAGCAACATCAACAACAACAACATCATCATCATGAACACAACAAGCATTGCGCCTTCTAACATCACCAACACACTTTGTACGAACTTTTTACTCTCCCAGTCGAACAAATACCAAAGGCGCAACGACAAACCACGCGGACTGGACGCTCTGTCGGTATTTGGGCCGGATCGGCCACGCACCATCATCATCAGCACCACCACCATCATCATCATCAGCGCCATCAGCAGCAGCAGCAGCAGCACCGTCATCATGAGCAGCATCAGCAGCAGCATCATCATTACCATCCCGGGACGCGGGAGATATCCAGTTCCGGACATGCTCCACCCCTCCCGTTGCTCATTGTTGGCTTCAAAGACAAAATAATTTAATGGAAGAGCTCATTTCGCAGACGACGCAGGGGGGGGGGGGGAGCACGCAGCTCCACTGATTGTCAACAAACCACCGCCGCCGCCGACTCGCCCCGCGAAGCCGAGCGCTGTCGCCCCGTGCGCTACTCTCAGCACCCCGTTGATGCCGGGGGTGCGGAGGCGGGCGGGCGGGGGGGTTATCGGTCTCAGCGAAAGGGGAGGGTCGTGTGAACGTGGGGTGCGACCCCCTCCACTCAAGCACCCCCTAGCCCACCCCCTCGCGTCCCGTCGCCCGCGCCGCGCTCTGTGAGTCAATCATATGTGCGCATTTCATTATTCATTAAACGCTATCTCCGTCTCCTGCGCCTTCCGCTACTCATAACGCCCCCGTGTTTGCGCTTCGCCCGACGAGAAGTGGATCTGTCTGTCCGCCTCTCTCTCTCTCTCTGTCTGTGTGTGTGTCTCTGTCCTGTCTCTGTGTGTGTGTGTCTCTCTCTCACCGAAGTTTTGTTCTTGATGTTGTTCTTGTTGCTGCTGCTGCTGCTAAAGAGGTAAGGACACTCCGAGACACGGCGATAGTCAAGTGGGGTGGTTGGCTTGCTGGGTGGATGTGTGATGGATGTGATGGATGGGGCATTGGACGTGCATTACGCATACACACAGACACACACAGCAGACAGACACACACACGGACAAAGATCCCCCGTATAGCCGTCGCAGACTTTTGGGGCATGTGCTGTTAGCGAGCGCCTATGCAGGCCGGGACGTTACACAGACACACAGCCACACACACACCACACTACCACACACACCACAACCACACTATCACACTCGCACCACACTACCACACACACCACACTACCACACACACCACAACCACACTATCACACTCGCACCACACTACCACACACACCACACTACCACACACACCACAACCACACTACCACACACACACCACACTACCATACACGCACACACCACACTACCACACACACCACAACCACACTACCACACACACCACAACCACACTACCACACACACCACACTACCACACACACCACAACCACACTACCACACACACACACAACCACACTACCACACACACACCACACTACCACACACACACCACACTATCACACACACACCACACTACCACACACACCACAACCACACTACCGCACACACCACAACCATACTACCACACACCACAATCACACTACCACACACACCACAACCACACTACCACACACACCACAACCACACTACCACACACCACAATCACACTACCACACACCACAATCACACTACCACACACTACCACACACACCACACTACCACACACACACACCACACTACCACACACACACCACAACCACACTACCACACACCACAACACTACCACACACACCACACTACCACACACACCACAACCACACTACCAAACACACACACAACCACACTACCACACACACACCACACTACCACACACACACCACACTATCACACACACACCACACTACCACACACACCACAACCACACTACCACACACACCACAACCACACTACCACACACCACAATCACACTACCACACACACCACAACCACACTACCACACACACCACAACCACACTACCACACACCACAACACTACCACACACCACAACACTACCACACACTACCACACACACCACACTACCACACACACACACCACACTACCACACACACACCACAACCACACTACCACACACACCACAACCACACTACCACACACACCACACTACCACACACACCACAACCACACTACCACACACACACACAACCACACTACCACACACACACCACACTACCACACACACCACAACACACTACCACACACACACCACACTACCACACTACCACACACACACACCACACTACCACACACACACACCACACTACCACACTACCACACACACACACCACACTACCACACACACACCACACTACCACACTAACACACACACACACCACACTACCACACACACCACAACCACACTACCACACACACACCACACTACCACACTACCACACACATCACAACACACTACCACACACACACCACACTACAACACACACCACACTACCACACACACCACAAACCACACACACACCACACACACACCACAATCACCCTACCACACACACACCATACACACCACAACACACTACCACACACACACCACACTACAACACACAGCACACTACCACACACACCACAACCACACTACCACACACACACACCACACACACACACACCACAATCACCCTACCACACACACCACAACCACACTACCACACACACACCACAACCACACTACCACACACACCACAACCACACTACCACACACACCACAACCACACTACCACACACACGCCACACTACCACACACACCACACTACCACACTACCACACACACCACAACCACACTACCACACACACACCACACTACCACACACACACTACACTACCACACACACACTACATTACCACACACACACCACAACCACACTACCACACACACCACAATCACCCTACCACGCATGGCTTCTCTTCTGTGCAACAATCGCTGTCATTTTTATTTCATTAAAACCGGAACAAGAAGGCGGCTCGGGGATATAAAGCGCGGGGGGGGGGGCGTCTGGGGCGAAAGAGAGAGAGCAGTCCCCCCCCCCCATCGTGCCCCCCCTCGTTCCCCTCTCCCCCCCCCCCATCGTGCCCCCCCTCTCGTTCCCCTCCCCCCCTCGTTCCCCTTTCCTCCTTCGTTCCCCTCTCCTCCTCGTTCCCCTCCCCCTTCGTCCCCCCCCCCTCGTTCCCCTCTCCCCCCCCCCCTCGTTCCCCTCTCCCCCCCCCTAGTTCCCGTTTCCTCCCCCTCGTTCCTCTCCCAACCCTCGTTCCCCTCTCCCCCCCCTCATCGTTCCCCTCGTACCCTCGTTCCCCTCTCCCCCCCTCGTTCTCCTCCCCCCTCGTTCCCCTCCCCCCCCTCGTTCCCCTCCCCCCTCGTTCCCCTCTCCCTCCCCCTCGTCCCCCTCCCCCCCTCGTTCCCCTCCCCCCCTCGTTCCCCCCTCTCCTACTTCGCCCGCGTCGCGTCTGGTTCAGTGTCTAGCGGCATGTGGAGCTCACTCTTCAACTCTCTCGCCCTCTCTCACTCTCCTCTAGATGCGTGCGTGCCTATCTCTCTCAAACCCTCTAACCCATTTCCTTTAGCTCCCTCCCTCTCTCTCTCCGTGTATATCGGTGCTGTGTGTGTCTCGCTCGCTCCCTCGCTCCTGAACCGTGACTCTACCATTTCCTCCCCCTGTCACCCTCTCTGGAGCGTGTCTCTTTCTCCCTCTCCCCTAGCTCGCCATAACATTAACACTTTCTCTCTCTCTTTATTTGTCGCTGTCTCTCTGGGTCTCCATCTCTGGCACTCCCATATCTCTCCAATCCCAACTCTCTCCCTGTCCATCTCTCTGTCGCTCTCTGTCTCTCGCTCTCTCCGATATCTACCCCGTAACCTCACACCTCTCTCGTTCAAGACAGATCTCTTCCTCTCGCTTTCTGCTCCCTAGCAACACTTTGCTATCTCCCTAATCTCTCTCCACTCTCTCCATAGCCCTCACACGTCCACCCTCTAGCTCTACTCTCTCTATCTACTTTATCCCGTAATATGCTCCGTCTCTGTAGCTCCCCGTCTCTCTTCCCGTCGCTCTAGTTATCTGTCTCTCTAGTTATCTGAGACGGAGCGTGGTGCAGAGACGGTGATGGCTGTAGGAGAGGGATGATGGCTGTTATCAGTCTAGTGATGGGTGTAGGTGTCACGTGATGGGTGTAGGTGTCACATGGTGGGTGTAGGTGTCACGTGATGGGTGTAGGAGTCACGTGATGGGTGTAGGTGTCACGTGGTGGGTGTAGGTGTCACGTGATGGGTGTAGGTGTTACGTGATGGGTGTAGGTGTCACGTGATGGGTGTAGGAGTCACGTGATGGGTGTAGGAGTAACGTGATGGGTGTAGGTGTCACGTGATGGGTGTAGGTGTCACGTGATGGGTGTAGGAGTCACGTGATGGGTGTATGAGTCACGTGATGGGTGTAGGAGTCGAGTGATGGGTGTAGGTGTCACGTGATGGGTGTAGGTGTCACGTGATGGGTGTAGGTGTCACGTGATGGGTGTAGGAGTCACGTGATGGGTGTTGGTGTCACGTGATGGGTGTAGGAGTCACGTGATGGGTGTAGGTGTCACGTGATGGGTGCAGGAGTCTAGTGATGGGTGTAGGAGTCACATGATGGGTGTTGGTGTCACGTGATGGGTGTAGAAGTCTAGTGATGGGTGTAGATGTCACGTGATGGGTGTAGGTGTCACGTGATGGGTGTAGGAGTCTAGTGATGGGTGTAGGAGTCACGTGATGGGTGTAGGTGTCACGTGATGGGTGTAGGTGTCACGTGATGGGTGTAGGAGTCGAGTGATGGGTGTAGGAGTCACGTGATGGGTGTAGGTGTCACGTGATGGGTGTAGGAGTCGAGTGATGGGTGTAGGAGTCACGTGATGGGTGTAGGTGTCACGTGATGGGTGTATGAGTCTAGTGATGGGTGTAGGAGTCACGTGATGGGTGTAGGAGTCGAGTGATGGGTGTAGGTGTCACGTGATGGGTGTAGGTGCCACGTGATGGGTGTATGAGTCTAGTGATGGGTGTAGGTGTCACGTGATGGGTGTAGGAGTCTAGTGATGGGTGTAGGAGTCACGTGATGGGTGTAGGAGTCACGTGATGGGTGTAGGAGTCTAGTGATGGGTGTAGGAGTCACGTGATGGGTGGAGTCACGTGATGGGTGTAGGAGTCTAGTGATGGGTGTAGGAGTCACGTGATGGGTGTAGGAGTCACGTGATGGGTGTAGGAGTCTAGTGATGGGTGTAGGAGTCACGTGATGGGTGTAGGAGTCACGTGATGGGTGTAGGAGTCTAGTGATGGCTGTAGCAGCATGCTGTAATACATATTGTGATGTCGCGAATATGGCGGTGTAATTTGAAGCAAGCTATTGTATAGACTAACTTGCAGTGCATAGCCCTCCCTATTGCTTAGCGTATTCTAATTGTGTAGCATGTTCTAATGTATAACACGTAATAGCAACATCCTAAGAAAGGTTTATGACATTCTATTGCTTATCCCGTGCTGTTGTATGTGCCACGTTGTAGTATGTGCCATGCTGTTGTATGTGCCAATCTGCTATATATATCGTCATGTTGTGTATGGCATGCTGGTGTATGTAATAAGCTGTTTAAGGTACCCCATGCCATTGTATATCCCATGCTATTGGTTATACCAAGCTGTTGGATATATGACGCTATTTTATATACCCCGCTGTTGTATATGACACGATGTTACATAATGGAATTCTGTATTGCACAGTGTTCCATAGTACATGGCTAGCGGTAATAGCAATGTGTCATTCTGCTGCAGCATATTTGAGTGTATCCGGCGAAGTCGTGTCTAACCTGCTGTTGGGTATAGCATGCTCTAGTAGCAGCCTATGTAC